TGCATTACAGATTTTCTCAAGAGGCAAGAATGAGAGATTCAAGAATAATAACGAGAACTTTAAGCTTTCAGCTCAGTGCTCTCCAGAGCTTCTCTTTCTTTCCCACTTAGTACAAAACAAGGGCACTTAAGTCATCCCCTGATATTAAAGAGTGGGGGTAGGAATCATAATTATAACCACAGCAGCTGCAACTAATATTTGCTGGTTGCTAAGTGACAAGTATGCATTATCTCATTTAAAGCACACAAAACCCCCAAGAGGTAGATATTAGTGTGCTGCAAATGATGAAACCAGTGGCCCAATCCTTTCTAAACTTGCCTGAGGCTACAGAGCTCCTTTCCTATTTATTTATCAAGAAAAAACCATGAATAAATGATGAACAAGCCAACTATGATATCTATTCTTATAGGAATGGTCCCTCTATTCAGCCCATTCCCAATTTCCTCCAAGTTTGTTTTTCTGTCTCTTAGGCATGTGTAATTGTTCTTATGAACATGCCCCCAACCAATGTGGCTGAAAGTGGTACCATCACTTTCTCACCTCTGTGTTCTTCAGCAATAACCCTGAGAAGCAGACAAGACTGGCATCATATCAGTGTCACAGATGAGAAAACAGAGGCTGTTGTGGGCTGAACTGGGTAGTCGAACCCTCAGCACCTTTGACTGTGACCATGTTTGAAGACAGGGTGTTTAAAGAGGTGATCAAGTGGAAATGGGGTCATGAGGTTGGGCTCCAATATTACTGACATTAGAGATCAGGATACAGACACACGCAGACCAAGAGACCACGAGAGGACAGAGGGAGAAGACAGCCACCTTGTCTACAAGCTAATGAGAGGGGCCACAGAGGACACCTACCCTCTGGCCCCGTGGCCTCGGAGTTCTAGATCCAGAACTGTGAGGAAACAGTGTCTGCTGGTCACGCTGCTGGGCCGTGGCTGTGTGTCCCAGCAGCCCCAGCACACCAACACAGGGTACGGAGATGCGAGGGACCCTTCTGGGGTCACAGGCGAGGGGGCGAGACGTGGGCCTCCAGCCTCCCTCTGCTGTCTCCTTCTCAGGAATAATGATTCTAAAGTATCAGGGTCTCTTTTCAGAACTAATATTTTATATATGAGTACATACTTAAAATACTAACATGAAAAATACAAAGTGCAAATTTAATTCCACTTCTCTTGGCTTCTTCTTCCACTTAAGATGCAGAAAAACATGGAAGATCATCACCACCATTGAAACAACAAAACCACTGGATAAACGACAAAACCATATTTTGCTTTACACACTGGAGACCTGAGGTCTCCAACGACTTTAGAGGTGACAGATGTCAGAGGGACTGAGCCCTTCCCACTGAGCAAAGGCCAGCAGCCAAGTGTACCCCTGGGACACAGGTGGGGTGAGGCGTTGACAGGCATATGACAAGGGCTCGGTGAAGTCAGGAGGAGCCAGCCAAAGTCTCACCCACCACATGGGCTAGCAGGAGGGACTCAAGCTGGATTAGAGGTGCCTGAATCTACTCCACCAGACTTGCACCTGACCTACAGGAAGTCAGGAGAGGATGGAAAGCAGAGTGACATCTCCATAGTCAGGTGGACTGTGTGAAGCTTTTACACTCCTGCCGCAAGACATTTGAAACCAGGGGCGAACCAAAAGGAATTCAAGTCACAATCCAAGTCAACCCACCCGAACTCCTCATTAAACAGAAGGGTTCAGCTCCTCATCCCAGGGACTGCTTTATCACCAGAAGAGAAGCCAGCTAGGACAAAGCTGTCAGATACAGAACCGCCGTGGTCAAGGCTGACCTGAGGTCCAACCTCCTACTCTGCTCCTCAGCTCCAGGGGCCCATGGCAGTGATGTCATTTAGTGTTTAAGCCAGTTTGATTTCTGTCATTTCTAACCAAATGAATCTAAAGAGACACAAAGCACAACTTCCAACCAATTTTTTTTTTACAGAGTATATACAGGTATTATTACACATGCAAATTCTTGCATAAATTGACATACACAATTTCTGAGTCATTATGATATCCTCTGAACACTCACTAAAATTAACTTTAGAATGCTATAAATGAATGAAACAATACTATAAAATAACTGCATTATTTTTTAAACAATCATAACAAAACAAATGATAAAAGTAGACAGCAATGACTTCACAGAATGGCATTGATGTGTCTGTTTTCTAAAGAGCCCACCACCATGCAAAACACTGCAGTATTCCTGTTTTGACAGTGCCTCATAGAAAACTAGTTTTATTATTTTACAATCTACTTCAACCATCCACATGTTTACATCTACCATAGTGAATGAGAAGAGATTCAAATTGTTACTTAAAAACCATGAAAGTGCTAGTGGGAAGATTCTAAACTGAATCTGAATGAAGAGATTAAAATAAGCATAGCAGGCAGACAAAAAGTTTTGAAGTCAAAATAACCACTCAAAAAAATCAAGCGTCATTTCAAAACATCCAAAGTACCATTTTAGTGTTAGAGAATAGCCAAAAATATTTTCAAATACTCATGCTCACCAAAAAAAAAAAGAAAGAAAGGAAAAGGAAAAAAGGCTCACAGGCTCCATATTTTCATGCCAAGTTCCAAGCTGGAGTGATATTTTATGAATTAATTTATAAGGTCCTAAAAGAAGCTATAAAGGAAATAGGATCTGCCTGTCCCCTCTCTGGAAGCCCCGACTCTTTTAGCCTCTAGCCTCTGAGCTAGAAATGCAGCCTCTGTGGTACAAAATAGAAGGCAGTGATTCCTCCCAGGTAGCCTTTCCTGTGTCAGCCTCTCTGCCCCTAGACAACACGGTGGCTTACCGAGACTCAATCAGCAGATCAACTGAGTGCTTCATGGAGGAGAAGGAGTTATCAGACTGCTCCTCACCTGCCTGGGCCAGCTGCCCACCTGCAGGCCATGTCCAGGGTTGGGACAACACAAGATCAGTGAGAAGGCATACGACACTGATGACTGCCGTGCTCGGCCATAAAGAACACGCTCCCATGGGAAACCATGAATTAATCTGATTACTCTTTCCAGGAAACGTCAAGAATGTATTCTGCTGGCGTCCCAGTAAATTAATTTTTCCAGTTTCTAAACCCACAACATTTAAAAGTTAATCCAAACTAGATAGGGCCTAATTAACTGCTTATTAGCTAAGCCTCTGAGAAGGCCTGTTGTCTTTCTTCACACAGCAACAAAGTTTACTGAGTATTTCACACAGAGCAAGAAGGACCAGAAGCAAAATCTATACTTTTCTCCTAAGTATGTGCTCCTACCCAAGACAGAGCCTGAGCTGGCATCACCTTAAACAAACACGTGCTCCTGCATGGCAGAGCATGTTGATGAGAGATCTGGGGGCTGGGAAGAGGATTATTTTTTAGGCAAATTCAGAAATTTCTCTCTGCAGCCTTGCATGACCACTCTTGTTTCAACTTAATTTCCATCACATCCTCCCTTACCCTGGCTTTGCACATTTTATTCCCTTCACTAAAGGCAGAACAGTCTCTCAAGAGTGCCTCCGTACGAACCTTAGGGACAAAAATGCAAATACCAGCACAATTTATCATATTGTCAGCAATCCTTGGTATCACGGCCCCAAAGAGGATGGCAGCTGGTAGTCAGACAAATATTCCATGATACCACCCACAGGCACCCCAGGTCTCTGGTCAGTGACTAGCAGCTGAGCATCACTGGCTCGAGTAGAGGGAAAGTAAGAATAAAACATATTTGCTCTTGGCCCTGCTTGGTGGTTCTCACCTGAGAAAACCCTGCTTCCAATGGTCCACAGGTGCTATTACTCATGTTTAGAACGTCTGAGTGCAGCAGTTCTCAGCGCCAGCTGAACGTTAGAACCACCTGGGGAGGTTTCAAATTGCCAGATGCCCCGGCTGCACCCCAGACCAAGACCAATGAAAGTGGCTCTCTGGGGACAGGACCTGGGTGTGACTAGTTGTTAAGGTGCCCCAGGTGATACCAATGGACAGCCAGAGTTGAGAACCTCTATCTCCAAAACAATATTTTCAGAGCAGATGCAGAAATTGCACAGATTTAGAATCATCACTAGTCATTCACTTTGAGAGGAGATAGAGAAAAAAATGATCCACTAAGGCTGACCCAAAAGGGAGGAAGTACCACCCGTGAGCAGTAAACTATCATCTTCATCAAGGGACACCGACAGGCAGATGGCTAGTGATCCAGCACCATGAGAGGTCCTTAAACACCAACGGTAATCCACAGGCTGTCCAAACAGAGCCACAGAGTACAAGAACCCTGGGTTCTCAGCCCAGACTCCTCATCAGAACCACCTTTAAAAACACACCCAAGTCACGCCCAGACCAATTAGATCAGGACTTGGGGGGACCGGCTGGTGCACACCACTTTTTAAAACAATGGCTCTCACCCCTAACTTGATCGGATTTACCTGGCCCCACCACCATGGTCTCTGATTCAGGCTGGACTGGGGAGGGGTATATGAGAACACGCAGTTTCAACAGACTCCCTGGTGATGCTGGTGCTACTGGCCCAGGGGTCACACTTTGAGAACCACTGTTTCCTAAGTTCCCCAGCTGACTCTGATCAGTGCAGCCAAGACTGAGGACTGCTGTACAGAAGAGCACACTCTGGCCAAGGGGTGCAGGGAAGGAGTTACTGGAGCTCTGCCACCAACCTTGGGCTTGCCAACGATAAGCCACTGAGGTTTTTCAAGCCTCAACTTGCTCCTGGTCTACAAAATTGAGATATAACAAAGAGATCCTTGGTTCTTTCTACAAATGCGTTTTTCAAAGGGCGACTACACATGAAACACTGATATAAATACACATAGAAAGGAAAAGAAAGTGGCCTTATGGGCAATAAAAAAATAGCTTTCAAAACACAGGAAAGCTAAGTTCTTGCTCACAGGATTTCAGTACATTTGGAGACACATCAATGGGGATGGTCTAGGGATGCTTGATAGTATCAAACGGGCACGTGCTGTGAGTCATTCATGCTGTTTCCCAGACTCACCTGTGAGGACCTGGCAGAGCTGCCCGGGCATCTGGGCCTTGGGAGAGGGGCTGGGTGTCAAGGACCACTTGCGGCTGACCAGATGCTCTTGTCCCTGGGAACTGTTGAGGGGCTGGATGAGCACCTGCTCCTGCCCAAGCTGGATGAGGCCAACCTGCCCAGAAAGAGAAAAGCAGACGTCAGTCATCCTCGCTCGCGCCCGTCCAGGACCAGTGGCAGAGGCTGGGGAGGCCACCCCGCCGAGGCCTGGGCCCACGCTGGGGCTGCGGCTCTGCAGGGTCCACCAATTCATGGAGCCCAGAAATGAGCTCGTGTGTGACCCAGCAGTCGTGCTGGGGATCAGGCGATGGAAGGCAGAGGCTGAGGCACAACAGCACCGTGTTCACTTTCAAAGATATATTATTCTGTTTTTTTTTTTTAAACTTATTAAACTCTTTTTAAGTCATCCCCCAAAAGTCAGCCTGAGGAGGTACCTCCAAAAGTGTTGGGAATGAATGACAATTATATCCTGAATAAGAAAAAAAAGTATATATATATATGTATATATATAAATATCCCTAGGGATCACTGTTTAGACTATTTAGAATCCCTCCTTAGACTATTTAGAATTTTACATAGAAACTTATCCCTGGGGATTACCAGAATTAGAGAGGATGGAGTCAGATCTTAGTGTTAATAGTTTGGTGATAGGACATTTGTAGATTTTCTTCAGTGTTTCAAGAGAACTTGCAGAGTACCTAATGAATTAGATTTGGGTTCTAATTTAAAGTACATCAGTGATTTAGACCTGTAACTTTAAAATCTTATCAGGTTTGTAAGCAGTATCAGAATGTATAAGAGAACTTAAGACTTCTTTACAAGACTAGTAACTCGTTATTTATAAGAACCATTTAAGTTCTTGCAAAGGATTTATTCTTTAATCAGACTACAAAAGAACTAGAAAATGAAACTGAATATGCTAAATTTCTGAACATGGTTTTAAAGGTTTAAATGTTGTTCATCACCAGATTTGTAAACAGGATCAAATGTTATCCAAAAGCTCCTTAAAAAGAACTGGAAGAATCATTACTGTCAAAATGGCTATACTACCCAAAGCAATCTATAGATTTAATGCAATCTCTATTAAGCTACCAACGGTATTTTTCACAGAACTATAACAAATAATTTCACAATTTGTATGGAAATACAAAAAGCTCAAATAGCCAAAGTAATCTTGAGAAAGAAGAATGGAACTGGAGGAATCAACCTGCCTGACTTCAGGCTCTACTACAAAGCCACAGTCATCAAGACAGTATGGTACTGGCACAAAGACAGAAATATAGATCAATGGAACAGAATAGAAAGCCCAGAGATAAATCCACAAACCTATGGACACCTTATCTTCGACAAAGGAGGCAAGAATATACAATGGAAAAAAGACAACCTCTTTAACAAGTGATGCTGGGAAATCTGGTCAACCACTTGTAAAAGAATGAAACTAGAACTCTTTCTAACACCATACACAAAAATAAACTCCAAATGGATTAAAGATCTAAATGTAAGACCAGAAACTATAAAACTCCTAGAGGAGAACATAGGCAAAACACTCTCCAACATAAATCACAGCAGGATCCTCTATGACCCACCTCCCAGAATATTGGAAATAAAAGCAAAAATAAACAAATGGGACCTAATTAAACTTAAAAGCTTTTGCACAACAAAGGAAACTATAAGCAAGGTGAAAAGACAGCCCTCAGATTGGGAGAAAATAATAGCAAACGAAGCAACACACAAAGGATTAATCTCAAAAATATACAAGCAACTCCTGAAGATCAATTCCAGAAAAATAAATGACCCAATCAAAAAATGGGCCAAAGAACTGAACAGACATTTCTCCAAGGAAGACATACAGATGGCTAACAAACATATGAAAAGATGCTCAACATCACTCATTATCAGAGAAATGCAAATCAAAACCACAATGAGGTACCATTACACGCCAGTCAGGATGGCTGCTATCCAAAAGTCTACAAGCAATAAATGCTGGAGAGGGTGTGGAGAAAAGGGAACCCTCTTACACTGTTGGTGGGAATGCAAACTAGTACAGCCACTATGGAGAACAGTGTGGAGATTTCTTAAAAAACTGGAAATAGAACTGCCATATGACCCAGCAATCCCACTTCTGGGCATACACACTGAGGAAACCAGATCTGAAAGAGACACATGCACCCCAATGTTCATCGCAGCACTGTTTATAATAGCCAGGACATGGAAGCAACCTAGATGCCCATCAGCAGATGAATGGATAAGGAAGCTGTGGTACATATACACCATGGAATATTACTCAACCATTAAAAAGAATTCATTTGAATCAGTTCTAATGAGATGGATGAAACTGGAGCCCATTATACAGAGTGAAGTAAGCCAGAAAGACAAAGAACACTACAGCATGCTAACACATATATATGGGATTTAGAAAGATGGTAATGATAACCCTATATGCAAAACAGAAAAAGAGACACAGATGTACAGAACAGACTTTTGGACTCTGTGGGAGAAGGCGAGTGTGGGATGTTTTGAGAGAACAGCATTGAAACAAGTATATTATCTATAGTGAAACATATCACCAGCCCAGGTTGGATGCATGAGACAAGTGCTCGGGCCTGGTGCACTGGGAAGACTCAGAGGGATCGGGTAGACAGGGAGGTGGGAGTGGGGATCGGGATGGGGAATACATGTAAATCCATGGCTGATTCATGTCAATGTATGACAAAACCCACTACAATACTGTAAAGTAATTAGCCTCCAACTAATAAAAATAAATGAAAAAAAAAGAATTTCAAAAACTTGCTAGATTATAATGATAACATGATTTGTAAATTGAACAAAAAACTTAAAGACTAGGATTCTTAACTTGCCACTTTAATGGAGTGACTATTAATTCTTAAAAACATATATACAATGCAGAGAACTTTTCCCTTCATTTGGAACCAATGTTGACAGCATTAAAAGTTTGCCCTCCTTCCCAGGATACTTGCCGCTAGCTTCCCTCTGAGTCATCAACAAAACAAGGTGAACCTCCCACAAGGAACCTGACTGGGTATTATCCATGTTTGCCCGCTGGATCCTGCAGCCCACAGACCCTGTTCTGGGTTCACTCGGGACCACCTTTGCCAGCACGGATTCGGGAGATAGAGCCAATCTGTCTTAGGCGGTCACGGACATCCCTGCTTCTCTCTCCCTCCACACTACTTTCTAAAAGCTGTAAACATACTAAAGCAATGCCTCTCAAACTCCAGTGTGCATCAAAATCACCTGGAGGGCGTGGATGCTCACCAAGAACACTCATTTCTAACAAGTCCCCAGATGATACTGCTGCTGTAGCCCTGAGGACCACACTTTGAGAAGCACTGGTCTCCACCACAGCTCAGCAGTTCCTCCAGCCTCAGGTACAAAGTTTACTCACACCAAGGGATACAGACTCCTCTACCTTCTGAAAGGATGCATCAATACGAATCCTTTGGAAATAAATCAGATCAATTACAAAGATCGCCTACAAGTTTTAGTCCCCAAATCACAGGGTGAGACCATACTTACTGCTCTAAGCAGATTGCAAGGTTTCCATTTCATTAGAACTTCTGCCAAGAACAACTCAAGAGATTTTACTGCCCAAATAAAACTGTCTTAAAGTGGTACTGCCTGATCTGCCGGGAAGCACAGCTTTCTCCCGTCTCCTTTGAAGTTAAAACCTGAGTCTGTTCACTGTGACACTTCAGGGAGGTGGTTGTGGGGGGCAGTGCAGATCCCCACCGGAAAGCTTCAGGGTAGAACCCCTCGAGAACTGTCAGTGGAAACGTCCATGGTTGAAACAAAGTTGGCAGATGGCCCCGCAGGGAAGGAGGCTGTGCTCCCTGGAGGACATGCTCCATTCTGACAGGGTCCCAACCTCCCAAAATGCTCGGGCTGTGGGAGGGCAAAGCCCCCCTTGTGTCTAGCACTTTCCAAGCCAGTTATTCTCCACTCAGCCCAGCGTCCGAGCCGCAGGGTCAAAGACCAGCTAGCCAGTAGTTCTGGCGTGACACAGCACAGAGAATCTCACCATGGTAAGAAAGCCTACAGGCACGTGCGCGCACACACACATAACCACGGTCCCACCTCCTGGTGGCATTTTTGCCTTAGACGGTCATTTTCACAGGGACCCACATGCTCGTTTCAACTACTCAGGAAAAAGAATAGCAAAATTGGTGAAACAGACACACGGGCCAAAGGCCTGTACTCAACTGCGCAGTCACGCGCCCCCTTGGGCCCGGAGTTTCAAGCAGGCCTGTGGCCAGAACGAGCACCTGGAGGGGGCGTAGGGCACAGCCCGCCCGCCCAGAAGCCACCATGAGGAGGGACTTGCCCCTCCCCTCCCCAAGCGCTGCCAGCAGGCACCCTGAAGCCTCACCAACACCCACTGGGTCATGGCAGTGATAAGACATTCTGTGAAAAGTGCTGTCTCCACCACCACCACCCCCCTCCCTGCCACACACACACACACACACATAGACACACACATGCAGAGACATACATATACACAAATACACATACAGACATACATACACACATATACATGCACACACATGCACACACATACACACACCCACACCCACATATACACACAAGCACACACATACATATACACACATGCACACGCACACATACACACACAATCCAGCACAGGGGAAAAACCTGTCAGCCCTTTCCCTAGCCATCCTCTCCCTCCCCTTCCCCTACAAAAACCAGTCCCCTTCGCTGGCACTCTGTATCCCAGCCCACTACCTGCTGTGTTAGAGGGCATCTGTCACAGCTCAGGGCATAGTTTGTTCTTTTTAGGCAGGATCAGAATTATGCCTCCTTATGTTTCCAGTGTCTGCCACGGAAGACTGACTCAAGAAAAATGTGAGTGAACGGGACTGTACTGGGATGGATCAAATGAAACAGGCAGAACAGCACGCACTGGACGGGCCGGCCCGGACTAGAAGGCCCCGGCACGGCACTCTCGCAGCCCTGCGGCTGTGGTCCTGTCCCCGGCTGCATGCTGCTGTTGCCTGGCTGGTTCTGAGGACTCCTGAGGCCCAGGCCCCACTCCAGGCCATGTGAGTTAGATCCCTGGGGGTGAAACTCAAGCACTGG